CCGGGGAATCGATTGGCGTCAATAAAACTGCAAAATTCCTAATAGTTTTGAAGTTATAAGCGGATTTAAATTTTTGATATTTTTGACTTTATCAGAAATTTTCTCGATAACTATTTGTCGCAGAACAGTAATCTTTTTTGGATATGATAGAAAATTAAATTTGCTTTCGAACGGTACCAAATATAAGAAGTTATTACCAATAAGTCCGGAGTTATTGGCAATAGACCGCTCCGGGTGCCAAAAAACAACCAAAATTTGGACAAAAATCAAAAAAATTTAAAATTGATCCATTTAACGTTTTTTACATTTCTAGAGGTCTCAAAGACTCAAATAAGTGCATAAAACGACATTGGGACAAGTTTCAAAAATTTAGAATTTTTTGAATTAAAAAAATATAGTCAATTTACCTAAAGTCGTAGAAATGCTTGAAGTATGTTTTTTTAGAGGTAAAATTATGATAGTAAATTAAAAGTGCAAACATAAGACAGATATTGAGAATAATTTTAAAGTTTTGAGTGGGGTACTGAAAGTATCCCAAAATTTTGACCAAAATCGAAAAAATTTAAATATTTAAAATCGATCTACATGCACTCTTTGGAGTTCAAGAAATTCAAAATAAGGAGTTTAAAAGTGCATGAAACGTTGTAGAAACACGAAAAATATTTTTTTTAATTTTGTTTATGAATAAGTGGCATTGGATTAGAGCAGAGACATTGGCCGGAGGCGAAGTGACACAGCGGCATAAACTCAATTGATTTTAAATTCTAATAGCACAATAAGGGAGAAATCTTATCATAAACTCAAGGAATCGTGATATTCTCTAGTATTTTAGTAAAAAAAATTTCAAAATGACTAATAAGAATGGAATTTAACGTCGAGTGAAGCGAACGACTTTTCATTTAGAATTTCAACTCTCCAGTTGCGTCAATTTTTAAATTTTATCAAATTGCTTCTATTTACGTATTTATAGTCGGCTACAATCTCGCAAAAGTGGTGAGACTTCAGGCCTGCCAACTTCCATTTATAAAACAAGCAACGAACCAATGCAATTAAAGTTGAAAAGTTAATGGTTTAGGCTTGTTTGTATCAGATACGTAAGTTTGGACGTGATAAATTCGATCTTGCCCTTATAGAATTCCCATTTCGTCCAATAAATGACAAAGAACAAATCGTCTATAAAAGCAGAATTTAATTTGAGCTCCTGGCCAAGAATCCAATTAGAGCTCGGGTCCGTCAAATGCATTCCTCGTCTGTTAAAAAAACTGCACTCGTTCAATTCAATAACGCCCTTTGGAGAGGGAGATTAGGGCCGATTTGCCCTTGATTGGTAAAAGAGGGATTAAAGCAACAGATTGCATTATCATACAAATGAGCCACTCGCGTGATTTTTCCACTAATTGTGTGGAAATTCCTAGTTTATTAAGCTCATATCCGGGTTTAAAAAGGAAAAATGTGATCTTCCAGATCAACGGATGGGAATCTTGGATGTCTGGGGAAAAGTTTGAGCTTTAACGAGGCACATAATGCTGCCAACTCAATTTAACAAAACTTTTATCAATAATGCGTCTGGTCTTTTTTCTCCCTCCCCTTCCAGCGTCTTATTAATCAGAAACAAACGATTTTAGGGGTGGTCACCGGACACGTCCACTTCATTAAAGGGCACACGAAGACCAATTAGCCTTGGTCCTTGGACAGCGTCAGCAAAATGGGGGCTGAAAGCAAAAGAAAGCTAACTAACTGTGATTTTTAATTAGTTTTTAGACGCTTCGTTTCGTTCGAAAGGGCGGAATTATGAGAGGTTTGAAAGGGAAAAGGTATGCTAAATAGGTTCGGCTTTCTAAGGGTTGTTTGTAATC